TAGGGTGGCGAACCTCACCCCTGTGCTGATTCCCCCGCTCTTGTTGAGTATGCCATAGTACAGCTCTGCGCCTGCGCTGAAGCGACCATGCACAGGATCCACCTGCTCTGCAGCAACGGGTTCTACGGGCGCAACTCTGGGGCCTGGACCAAAGTTGTAAAGACCCCGGACGCCCATCAACGCCGAGTCTGTGCTGTACATGTATTCCGTGCTGTATTTGCCGAAGTCATTTTGCAGTAGCGTCAGGATCGTCCCGCCGTTGTTGAGATTGGAGTCGCTCACGGCGGCGATCCTCAGCTGTCGTGTAGGAGTGAGGCGGCGGAGGTACAGGGCTTCGAGCCTCTGCTGTGGTAGGAATATGCGCCCATACAACAGGGTGTCTGTCTCGACTCAGCGGGGGTACGGGAAGGCAGTGTCATCCAGCTCACTCTTGCGGTCTATCCGGCGGCCAGCATGCCAAACCTCCCACGACCACTTCTCGTCCGGTCTCCGCAACTCTTGCACATGCTTGTAGCCTCGTATCACGTTGTGGAGGTCGATGTGGGATGTCCTAAAGTCCTTCCGCAGTGGCAGCGACGAGTACAGATAGGATACTGAGCCGTCGACTACCCCCACACTGCCTAGGGTGTACGAGGTTGCGAAATTGGGGGCGGCGAGAGAGGAAATTTGCATGCGCAGCCCACGGGGTATGTCAAAGTCGAGCAATGCTGTCACCTAGAGTCAGCATCCAGTCCAGAACGCGACATCCAGTGTGACGTACCTCGTGCCGACGCGTTCAATGCGCCATAGGAATTGTCGACGTTCCAGCCCGATGCCTCGTAGAATGCATGCTGCACACTGTCCATGAAATCCAACATCGCTGTGTTATCGACTGATCATCTCGAGCGGACTGGGGTGAGGTTGAGTGCGTAGACTTTGGACAGCGCGAGAGCGACATCTGGATCCACAGCGGAGCAGCCGCGGTTGCACCAATCGGGGGTTCGCCAAAATCCCCGCTCAATTTTTTGGAAGTCGCGACCGCAACTTCGAACTTTTTCCTGAGCGCAACCACCAACCACAACACCCCCGAAATACCGCCACCATGCCCAAATCCAAGCGCCAGAAGGTCGTGCATCTTACCAAGACGGACAAGAAGGGCAAGGAGCTGTCCTTGAAGCTCTTTGCCAATGTCCAGGAAGCGGCGGATAACTTTGAGCACATCTTCGTCTTCGCCGTAGAGAACATGCGCAACTCGTACCTGAAGGAGGTCCGCCAGGAGTTCGCAGACAGCCGGTATGTCTTCGGGAGCGCTCTCATCCAATGCGCGCAACGCTAACGAATGCGCAGATTCTTCTTCGGAAAGACCAAAGTCATGGCGAAAGCGCTTGGCCTGTCCCCCGCAGAAGAGCACCTCTCGAACCTCTCCGAGCTCACCAAGCACCTCAACGGCAATGTCGGACTCTTTTTCACCAACCGCGAGCCCAGCGAAGTCATCGAGTACTTTGCCAACTACTCGCAAACCGACTTTGCGCGCGCCGGTGTTGTCGCTACACAGACCTTCACAGTACCCGCTGGTGTAGTCCACTCAAGAGGTGGAGAGATTCCCGAAGAGGAGGACGTGCCGCTGCCGCACAGCATGGAGACTACCATCAGGAAATGGGGCATGCCAACGAGGCTGGACAAGGGCAAGATTATCTTGGATGTGCCGTACACCATCGCCGAGGAGGGCAAGGTCATGAACAGTCATCAAACAGCGCTGCTGAAGATGTTCGGTGTGGCCATGGCAGACTTCAAGATCGATCTCAAGGCCTACTACACCAAGGCGACTGAGCAGGTTACAGAGGTCGGAGCTATGGAGGAGTAAGAACAAGCAAGATCAGCTTAGTTCAGTTGCATTATGACGGCGTTTCTTAGGCGTTCGGTTCGACCAGGGAAAAGTATGCTAGACGACTTTGACAGAAAGCTCGAGTCAACCCACGAGCACATCACAATATACCCTATTATGTTGGTCTTCAACCTCGCTAGACCTCTGCGCGACTGGCTTTAATGGCATACTGCATATATTTTTCAGTCGCCTATACTCTACTGAAAGAATATTAAAACCTGCTACAGCATCGCTAATCCAGCTAAAAGACCCCCTGCAATAGCTCCAAATGTCTCAGGGTAGTTCGCAACACCTGCACCCGTCTCGGCCGGGGCCGACGCACTTGCCGAAGTCTCATCCGCTGTAGGAGTCGCCGTGCGCGAAGTCCTGACCGATGTGGATGAGTGTGTGGAAGAATGTGTCGAGGTATGCGAGGTTGTAGAGTTGCGCGACAGCGTTGAAGTCGAGAGCGTCGAGTTGGCCATAGCGCTGCTAGACATGGAGATCATGACTGTGCTGCCGGAAGGTGTGAGAGTCGGTAAGTTTGAAAGTACCGGAGCGGACTCGGTGACGGAGGGATAGACGATGGTGCTAGGGCCAAAGAAAGGCGCCGTGTCCGGGTCGAACATTGGGCCGGTATCTACATCGGATGCTTGATTAGAGTTGAGATTCCAGGCATACTACATGCAAAACTATTGCCGTCGACCAAACTTACAGCTTGAGGTTGAGGCATCTTGCGCAAGCGCGGCGACCACCAGGCCAAACAAGGCAACGAGCACCTTCATACTTTCTTTCTTGCTACCCAACTTGTCGCGTTGTGATGCACTAGTAACGGCAGTCGGCAGTCGTGAAACTCAATAGTGATGCTGGCGGAACCTCGAACGTGTAGTGACGAAGATAATAAAATGTATTAGGAAAGAGCGAAAGAGTCAAAAGTAAGGATCGACCGACGACTACGACCGCGATGGAAAGTGAAGCCCAGCACGCGCGCGCATCACGTAGGACCAGAAAACTGGTTCTCAGGGACTTTTAATCCCCATTCACTCTACCTTGCCCCCGTCAGCCTGTTCTGGCCCTCCGCCCCTATAGAGAAGGATCTCGTAAAGAACAAGCATATCAATACTCTCCCGCAACCCGCCCAATGATGGCCGCCCAGTCAGCGTGCCCAGAGGTCTGGTCATCTCCGTGGGGCTAGACGTGTTTCGGATGGGGGCTCGTGTTCTCGTGTCTACATGGCTGCGAGCCCGAAAGTTAGTGGCGCCTAGTCCTATTGACGCGAGACTGGCGCGGTGAATCTATGGATTGGACTTGGGGCAGTCTAAAGGGTAGAAGTGAGCAGCTGATGCGCGCGATGGGGGCTTGCTTTTTTGGGTGATGTCGATGGATGGCGTTGTGAATGGATGCTAGTGAGCGTTGGAGGCGCGCGTGAGTGGAGATACCCCACATGGCGCCCCTGATGGCTTGGCAGGTACAAGCGGGCGAGCAAGCGATGTGAGGACGCGTGCATGACGTGCTTCTTTTTCTGAGCCTGCAGCACCACCGCGGAGCCTGAGACCGCTATCACACAACTGACTCTGCTATACGAAATGACCCCGCGGATCGTTAGGTCTGGATTCGGTTCACAAATACAATAGGCCTTGCATGGCCACTGCGGCTGCGGCGTCGAGCAAACTGGATGAATTGTCTAGGTATCATCACTTCATCTGTTCTCGAACATTTGTCTTGATCTCACTCGCATGTCTTGCATGGAGTATAACACCAAGTTGCTTGCTAACAATGAAAATGTCTCGGTACTCAGCGCATATAATGCAGTATTCATGTACAGGCAGTAGCGGTACAGCCAAAAGCGAACATCACCTGACCAAAACTTACAATGAACTATCAGATCGGGAACAGCCCGCTCGGGGGCCTCGGTATGATGGCAACCCGTCTCATCGAGCGAGGCGAGCTCATACACACGGAAACTGCCTTGGTCTTTTGCAATACCAACTATCCGCAAACCCAATGGTTGCTACCAGGTACTGCCAACACATTTTTTGCTGCTCAGCGAGCAGCTCCGAGTGTGTTGCAAGAAGCCGTGACCCAGCTCGAACCAGCGCAGCAAACAGTATTTCGTGCACTGGGTCCACAACCAGGTCTTAGCAACACACGGGACCGAGTCGTTCGACGTTTTGAACACAATGCGTACGACTTTGATAGTGTCAACAACCCTCGCCGGATACACCTCGCGGTGTATGAGACCTTCAGCCGTATCAACCATTCTTGTGTTCCGAACGCTGCTCTTGAGATCTGGCCAAGGCGCACGGAGTTTCCAGAAGGCCAGGCCAGACTGATAGCAACCAGAGCAATCCTAGCGGGAGACGAGATCTTCGTGAACTACATGCCTAATAATTGGATGGATCACCACGCGACAAGGGTGGCAGCTTTGAGCAGCCATTGGGGATTCAATTGTACATGCGTTGGGTGTACGGACCCTTTCATACCTATGGATACGTCTGCTCGTAATCTGGCAGCCACCTACCACGCCGCAATCGGGACTATGGCAACTGCAGTGACTGAGGAACAGAAGACTAGCAGTATCATGCACATAGAGACCTACATCAAAGCCCTTGTTTCGCTGGGTATATGGGACGACAAACTGTCTCTCGCGTAAGTTGGGCCATTCAGCTTTCATGTCATTGTTGCTAACAGGATTGAAACATAGTTGTCTAGAGCTCGCTCGACTCCACTTCGGTGAGCAGGATTACTTGAAGGCAGCGTCATCCGCTTATGCTGGTTCGTTAGTTGAGAAGAATTTCTACTCTCGAGATCTTAATCCACAGCTGAGTGAGTTGTTCTTAGAGTGTCATCAGCGCGACGACAGGTCGCGCGTCGAGTACAACAAGTCCGCCATAGGTCCTTATCCGCTAACATAGCGTGTTCGTTCCTGTATTCCGTCTATGTAGTGTATATACCATTTTGCTTTTCACATATCGAATCGTTGTGTTCCTTTCCATACAACGAGTAGTTCAATGGTTCTTTCTCATTGCTAAATCCTGTTTGTGCCTTTAAACTAGCAAACTCTCGCTGCTGGCAGGATAAAAGGTTGACCTGACTTTTCCTCACGAGTTTTTCACATTTCCCACATCGATCAAAGTTACCGACTCCAGGATAGTCAATGGCAGCAACCCCGCCTCCGCCACCAGTCACTGGGGTAGAGATCGTCAAGGGTGAAGGCCTTGTAGCACAGCAACAGTTTGAAAGGGGCGCTCTCATCCTCACAGAAGATCCGCTGGTCATGTGCGACACAGGCAAAGGATTCAGTACTTGGGACAAAGAAGCCGGTGCTTTCTACCAAGAACAGCACGAATACAGTAAGTCAATATTGTGGAAAGCATTCAATAACCTCGAACTTTTCGACCAAGGAGTCTTCAACACCCTCTACACTACCAAACGCAAGGCGTCAAAGCTAGAGTATGTCGTGGATGCATTTCGACACAACGGATTCCAGTTCGGCTTTCGCAACGTGAACAACGCTCACGTCATCCTCTACCGTTTCATCTGCGCAGCCTACCACTCCTGCATCCCTAATGCAACGGTCATGATCAACGAATTCGCTCCCGATGAAACGCTTCACCCAGGCCAAGCTCGACTAGTTGCTACACGCGAGATACCCGCCGGTAGCCCGATCGTAATCGACTACATCCCGAAGCTCTGGAAAGAGGACAGCGCCGCTCGCCAACAGGCTCTAATGGCGCGTTGGGGTTTCGACTGCAATTGCGAAGGGTGCAAGCCTGCAAAAGCCGTGATGGATGCATCGGAGCGGAGTATCTGCAGGACGTATCATGAAAAAGGTCTTCGCTTGAGCGCAGCAGAACTTCGTCTCTATATCGGGTTCATGAGTAAGCTGGGCAAGTGGGACAAAGATCTATCGCGGCTGTGGGTTTGCAAACCTAATTGCGTATCGACGACGTGCTAATATTTGGTATACAGATGTCTTCGACTGGCACACGACCACGAGACCCGCGACGAGTATAGAGAAGCAATGCATATTGCTCAAAGTGGCCTTCTCGTGGAGCAGCACTTCTACTTGAAATGTCACTATGGCGAACTGTCAAGAATATGCGCTGACTGTTTTCTGGAAGACAGAAACTTGCAAGCTGAGTACCGAGAGACTGAGAGGGCTGCTCGTATCTTCCTGGAGTAACGTTTTGCGGGAGTGGATTTGGATCACCCACTACTAAGTTGTCACATGGGAAGATAGTATTGAGCTTGGCTATGTAACATATATTGGTTTAATACCTCCGATGTGCCCACCGGAGGCGAAGGAATTGTAACGATATGTGATACTGTTTTAGACTAGAAGAAAGGCACCCCGACGCGAAGAGTTGAGTAGAAGCAGCACCTCTGCCAGAACGTATCGCCGAAAGACCGACACACCCATAAGAAAAGAAAAAGCATCAAGAAGAGAAGCGAGAAAGAAGAGCAAGCGTATCACCTAGTACCCACCATAACCTCCGCGTCGCCCACCCAACGGCACCCTAGCATGCCACTCATCATCATGATCATACTGAAAGGCCGAGTCCCTCCTGCCCATCATGTTCGAGCGTCGGGCTGATCGCTCTTTCTTGTCCTGGATGTGCTCAAGCGCCGCATGGATGTCATTGATTGCGTATCGCGCATCTAGTTCGTCTTGGTCTCCAATCGCGCGCGGCTGGGGGTAGCTGTAGCCTGGCTCGTGCCTATCTGCGAGGTACGATGCTGCGCGCACTGGCTTGGGTGGGAAGTGCGATTGCGCAAAGGGGTTATGGAGGTTGGGTGGGTTGGCCATGGTTGCGCGGCGGTTTGGCAGGCTTGGCCGAGTAGTGTGAGTTGGGTAATCATCGAAGTATGACTCATGCTCATGTATGTGTGCGCGTGGGCTTCGGGGGTGTGGGTAGTCGTCCACTGTCTCCTTGTGGTATCTGACCTTCTGTACTCGACGGTGGTCAATATCTTCGTCGTAGATGTGGCTGGGGTGCGGCTGGCCGAATGGGTTGGGAGACCTTCTTCCGTAAGAGACCTTCTGGCGACGATGAACGTGCGTGAAAGAAGGGCGGCGGCGTATAGGAGTGTCAAAGATACCATCATCTGCTGTGTGGACAGATGTAGTGTTCATAGACTCGGTGCCGCTTCCACGCTCTGATGATGAGTTGGAGGTCTCCCTAGCCATGCCGTGCGAGGAGTAGTACTTTCCAGATCTCTTCTTCTTCTCGTTGGAGAGGCCAACTGGTGAGGCATTGCCGGAGCGTGTTCGGTCTTCCACGATATTGTTGGTGCTCAAGTGGATATGAACAGGCGGGACTTTGTTGTGAGAAGACCGAGAAGATTCGGTAGTGAAAGACTCTGGGCTATGCCTCCCATTGCGTTGATCATCAATTATGTCTGAAGTGCGGTGTCGACGGGTAGTCTTCGCAATATATGGATCGACGTTGTTCTTGCGCGCACGGCTTCGGCTACGACTGCGACTGAGGGCTCTAGCTTTGCTGAGCGATCGATGCCTCTGAGTCTTCTTCGATCTCTTGCCGGGCCGCTGACGTCCTCGTCCACGTCGATCAACATCTATGTGATCATGTTCAATGTTGACAAAGCTGGAATCTTCCGACTCAGACTCCCAGGAGTCACTGTCGGACGATGAGCCGGAAACATCACGACGAACCCTGTGGTTTTTCTTCTGATGTCTGAGGTGATCAGGGTTCAAGCCTGGGACGTGCCTCATGCCAACTGGCGGCATATGCATTTGGTCCGGAAACGCACCAGGCATTGGCATTTGACCAAAGGGCGGGCCATGGTGCTGGCCATGAGGAGGCAGAGGAAGCTGCACGGGCGCACCCGGCATGGGTTGGCCCGCTCCACCATGCGGCGGGGGTGGTGGACGACCCATGTCGTGTGGTGCAGGCATCCCCGGAGGCGGGGGTGGTGGACGACCCATGTCGTGTGGTGCAGGCATCCCCGGAGGCGGGGGTGGAGGAGGAGGACCTCCAGGAATTGCCATTGGGTTCATGTGGCCCGGGTTTGGAGGATGCTGTCCGAAGTTCTGGCCGCCAGGGTGTTGTGATTGCTGCTGTTGGGGAGGTCTTTGTTGCTGTGGCATGTTTTGGCCGGGGTTGTTAGACGGGTTCGGGAACTGTTGACCTTGCGAGTTTCCTGGTTGCTTGTTCCTGTTTGCATCTTGGGGTACATTGCCCGCACCTCCGACCACAGCTCTCGCTTGCACGGGCTCTTGAAACCCAGAAGGTTCGGTCTCCAGAATGATGTCTACACGCACCAGCTGCCTTTCGCGACGGTTGACCGAGCGCCATTTGTTCACAACGCTTGCGATTCTGTACTGGATGGTTCTGTTGTACCTTGCAAGCTCAACGTTCTGGTCCTCAACGAGCTCGTTGATGATCCGGCGACAGTTAGGGGAAGGGATATCGTTCAACGCCTTCTTGACGTTACCATGGTTTCGACGAAACTTGTGCAGTTCGCTGTGGAGTTCCTGGAGTGCGACGTGTTGCTGCTCAGGTGCAGCATCCTCCCAGGAAGTGGCGTTTCTTGGCTTCTCTAAGATGAAGGAGGCCAATTGGGGATCGTAGTTGGCGTATGGGTTTAGAGGTTGCTGTTGGGGCTGAGCTGGCCTCTGTTGGGTCTGTCCAAAGTTCTGCTGTTGTCCAGAGCTCTGCTGCTGCCCATTCGGGACTTGTCGTGGTTGGCTGACATTCTGATGTTGATGGGGTACATGACCCTGGTACTGTGCCTGCTGTGGAGTCGCCATTGAACGATTCGTAGAGGTTATGGGAGGGATATCTTCAACGAAGAAAGTATAGCCGATGGCTAGATGCTCAAGTGACTGAACACTTGATGCCGATGATCGAAGCAAGCAGAGCAATGTGATGAAGACACGGGAAGTGAATGACAGGGCGAACTAGAAAGTCCAAGGCAGAAACAGGAGGACGTTGACCGAAGATATAGATTGGGAAATTTCTTGTCATACTGCAAGATTGTAGCTCTTGATCTTTGCCCGGAGCAGTAGTAACACTTTGTTGATGCAAGCGAGGTTGTGGTCCTTCTAGGAGTACAACAGCCACATGCAGTCGTTTCTCCGGGGGGTATACATGAAACAAGCGTTAATTGGTCGTCTCGAAGGGCACTCGCAAGCCCCACTTGAGGGTGATATCAAGGCTCTCACCGGTCTAAGCCACCAGGCTGAGGGGGACAAACAGGCAAATAACCCCGCCCTCTTGCGTGAACGCGCAGCATAGCTTCGTTGCTACACGTCTTGAGGCTCAACTTTGACCGGACCAGTTAAAGGTCGTATAAAATATGCATCAGCCATGCGCATGCATATTTGAGGACTCATAGCGGCTGCCTGTTGTTGCATGCAGCCTGATGGTGGTGGTGTTTGGATAAGGTCGCATATGCATTACAGCTGCAATCGTTGAGAAGCTTCGCGAATGATTGATGTAACTTTTGCCGTTTTTTGCCTGCCCTCCGTGGAGCTGAATACATGAAGTCGTCGAGGTGTGAGGAACGTTCACGGTGCCAGTGCGGAAGAAGCGATCATTGATTGACCACGCTAACGGGGCGTCATGACCCCGCTTTTGATCCGTGCACGGCTCAACACCCCCTTTCGCCTCGAGCCCAGGTGCCAGCCAAAAGAAGGCAACTGACCACTACAAGCCACCATCGCAAGGTGTACGGGAAAGATGAGGACCCTTTCTTTGAGTAACGAGTATCGATGGCTGAGACAGCGTCCTGCTGACGTCCAACCCGCCTGCTTGCCCTTCGTTCCGCTCGGCCAACGCATCCAATCACCACCCACAAGTCGAGGTAAGAACCCGCTGGTTACGCCAAAGTCTTTCAGTCACTGGTAGTTGTACCTGGTGATACGCATGTAGACCCCTTATCTGTGTCTGCACTTATACCACTCAGCCCGGCTTGCATCACTGCTGCGCGTGTCGTATGTCAAACATTTTGGTACATCGCCCTTTGGTGTATCGCAGTGCGATTCGATCTTTCCAGCCGATCCTAATCCGCCTACACTCCAACATGGACTCCAGACCGTTCTTCGGTGCGGCTCAGCGCGCGTTCGCGCAGCGTCGATCTACTACTGCACATCGCGTTGCTGTCGACCTGTTTACTGCAGTTCGACGCCCTTCCATGCACCTCGTGCCGCCCTCCAATCTTCAGCTCTCTATCCAGCCAATGTCCTTCTTGCCGGAAGCTCGCGGATTCGATCGCTTTTGGAGGCCTATCGAACACACCGGATCCACCGCGCATGACATGCATATACGCGGCTGGATGACATCTTTGACACGCAGCCTTATGCACGTTTGGGTTGCAACACCACAACCGTGTTCCAGAATCGGTTCCAATAGGTGCGAGCGACTGCAGCTCTTACGAGTAGCCGCGATAGATATACAACATCGTTACACTTCCTGATCTTCGCTCACCGGACGCAGACACGCTCTCGCTCATGCACTTCTATCATGAAGATCCTCCATATCAGTGTCTCGGACCGGATATGTCGGCTTGAACCATCTCTCCTGCGTTTTGAGGAGCATGACCAAGTCTCCGGCCCGAGCAAGCAGTCACACAAGTGCGTTCTGTTAGAAACCATGCGCCCACAAACAGCCACCTGAGCAAGGATGCGATCCTGCACCGGATTTGATAGCTACAGATCTGCTAACGAACAGATTGAAGCCCGCCGGAAGCACGGAATATCTTGATCGGTATGAAATTACTCTCCGAGCCACACGGCACTTGAGAGGCTCGGCATCTCGCTGGTACGATCTGCGGGTACGTACATATCTGAGACACGGGCGAGCATCACGGCTTGCCTACCACCCCGCACGATCGCAGCAATCCGCCGACTCGGTAGCGTTGCCTTGACCGCCAGATTGATCCTTCGACGGCCAAGCTCTTACATCCGGCAGGCCGCGGCAGAGGCAAGATGGCGTGGCATTACAGGACGATCTTAATCACGCTTTCGGTTACACACTCCGAAGCAGTGACTGACAGCTTGCGATCAACACTAGACGATCCGATGAGAGCATGTTGGGATGACCTTCCAGCAGCCAGAGACAGGTTTCTTGACAAGTTGATCCGTCGGGCGATATGCAATGCATGCGCGGGGGTGTCATGGTGTGTCACATAACCAGCGTCGCAGAGCCTCAGAAAGTTACGATGGCAGCCTGGTTCGTTTTCGTGTCGCCAACAACTGCCTGCTTCGCTTGCAAATCATGCATGAAGGGTCCCGAAGGACCATGAGCGAGGAGCATACGGATATTTCTCGCCTCAGAACGGGGTCTTCGAACACGATGCATACTGGATAAAGTGCGCGCCTGATAGTACGTAACGACAAACATGACCGACCTGTGGCCATGGTCTTGCCTTCTATCTTGCCACAGGCAAATTCACATGCGTGCCTTGCCGCTTGAACCTAAGCGTTCGAGCGCCCCACTTCTCTTTGGATTGGTCTAGTTCGAAAACGTCCTCCCAAGGCTCGCCGATATCGACTTCATCCTGCTGGGACACGTTCGTCCAAGCGTCATCAACTTCCGACGCACTGCTGACGATCTTGATACCCATCTTCTCCGCAATTTTTCTGACATCTTTGGCAGCTTGCTCTGCGCTTTCGTATTCGCTCTTCCAGGCTTTGAGCAGGACACTTCCAAGCCTAGCCTCTTCTAACACTTGAAGCTGATCACGCCAATCTTTTGCTGGCTTCGGTGGGCCGCCTTCAGGTGAAGAGAATGGGTCCCAATCTATGCCCCGTTTGCAGTGCGCTTCGGCCGTGTGAGTATTCGTCATAAGTCCCCAGACAAAGGTCGCCCAGTAGAACCTATGGCGGAATGATGCAGTCAGCGAAGCGTCCCACGTAGGCCTTGGCTGATGGGAGAGCGATGATTACTCACAGGGACTCACGATGACTTCCACACGTTCGAGGAAAGTCCGTGGGATAGTCGTCGTAGTATATAGCACCGCCATCTCCCACCCATTCACAGGTATCCCAACCACCGGAAAAGTCTTCCGGTATCTCTTCGCTCTCATCATCGCTCTCGCCCTCACTCTCGTCTACAGGATATTCTGAGATTGGAGCTCCGGCAGCACACCATTCCTGGACCCTTCGCTCTCGTCTCTCGTACCGCTTCTCCTTTTTCCAAGCCTCTCGTCTACTATCGGCATCAAGCTCTGGCCCATCAACACTAATGAAACCTGAGATAGCCAGTGAATAATCGGGTCGCAACCACACATTGGTAGACGAGAAGAACGTCAGGTATACAGAGCGAGAGTGGAGGTAGCTGATGGCGGATAGCGACTGTAAGGCCCACCGATAGTACAGGGCCAGCATGATGCGATCCTCTCTTGAAGGCTCTTTAGGAACAGGCAAAGTCATGGCAGGAAGATCGCCCCAGTGGGGCCCTGGTTCAAGTCTTTCGACGATCACTCCGTTGCCGGCGTCGCTATACACAAGGCCGGTACGCCTGCCATCGCGTTAATGGAAGTTAAGCACTGTTTTTAAACCCTACATACCGAACAATCCTTGGATGCCCTTCGCCAAGAAGCTCATAAGCTTTCCGTAGCCGTTTGATCGCCCATCCTGGTCTAGCCCTTGTGTCCTCATCCTCATCTTTCGGTTCGTAGATGATGATGCTCTTCCCATCTTTGTGAGGTACTGCGCATGCATGGTCCCAGAACTCGCAGTACCATCTTCTCGTGTCTTCTGGCTCTATGCTGGCTTCGGGGGGATAATATGGCGACTGCGTTGCGATGGTTCGCTCTTCATCTTGAGGCAATGGCCTATTAAGATATGAAAATGCCGAACCCATGAGGCAGCACGAGACAGAATCCTAGAAGTTCTGAACAGCGCTACACTGCGTACTTTATACACTGACCCAGGTGTTGCCGGTTGAGGCAAGCGCCATCGCGCCTCGTGAACCGTGCCAATGATGCCTGCTTGGCAGCCCCATCAAGCTTGCCCTAATCAGATCCAACTTTGAAACCCAGCTTCCCGTCCTTGAACTCGAACACATCCTCCCACTTCTCACCAATGTCAACCTCGTCGCCAGAGATGGTTATGCCCACCTCGACTGCTGCCAACTCGATATCACGAACAACCTCATCCACGCTGCCATATCGATTATTCCAAGCGCCAACCAGAACATGTCCCAATCTAGCTCTCTCTAGCTGCTGGAATAGCTTGCGCCGTTGTCTCTCATCGATAATGTTAGATATATTTGGCGAGTCTTCTCTCATGTAGCCTCCTTCCATGGGCCATGCAGGCTCCCATAGTCCACGAAAAGGCCCACGACGCGATGGCGACACAGCAGTGAAGTCGTTCGTCATGAGTCGCCAGACGAATGTAGCCCAGCAGAAGCTAGAGTGTGAAGATAGGGTCAGTAATCTTTTGTGCGTATACCGTGGTTCGCGCATACTCACAGGTCTGCCTTTACACTTCCTTGTACACCTCCTGTGTAGTAACTTTCATCAAAAGAATTCTCACCATGTACCATATCATATATCATGTCGTCGCCTGCCCACTCACCCTCGTCCCAACCGCAGCTAGCGGTGCTCTCTATCTCTCGCCCATTTTCATCTATGAAGTTAGCTTCTCGTCGGGCCGCCTGAGTGTCTTCTTCAGTATCTTTCCAGAGCTCATCCTCTATCTCCTGTGCACTAGCGCTGATGAATCCACCCACTGCGAGCGAGAAGTCCGGGCGTATCCACACGAGTTGCGATGAGAAGAACCCAATGCACATGGATCTAGCATGCATGAACCGAAAGGCAGAGAGTGCCTGTATCGCCCATCGGTAATATAGCGATAGCATGATCTTGTCGTCGTGCGACATCGTTCGCGCTACTACAGGCACTGTCATTGCAGGCACCTCAACCCTCTTGAGCTGGCCTGGTTCCAGCTTCTCAACGACTATGCCATCACCCGAAGTGCTGTACAGCGCGCCGATATACCTAAAAGATTGAGCGTGGCTAAGTACACGACGAGAGTCATACGTACCGAACGATCCGCGGGTGTGGTTCACCAAGGATCTCGTACGCCTTCCGCAAGCGCTTAATTGGCCAGCCATGCCTCGATCTGGGGTCTGGATAAAAGCCGTTGTCTTCAGCGCAGATGGGGGTGGATATGATGACTTTGTCCGTGTCTTGGTGTTGTACACAGTCCGCAACCTCAAACAGGCGTTCGTACCATATAGTGGGATTCGCTTCGACGGGGACAAGCTGACCGTTACGCACATACGGGTATCGAGTCAGGCCATCATAAGGAGGCCGAGAGTCTGGCTTTGAAGACTCGGGTGAGTTGATTGATGAGAATATGGAGCCCATGATAGTTTGCTGACGATGGATGTATTGTGGTATGCGCTATGAGAAAGCTGGTAAAGGGTATGGGTCCGGCAACCAGATATATGCGCTTCCAATGGGAACTTTCGCGTCCCTAACATCGCGAGCAAATTATAGCCGTGTAGATTGCGATGCATCATAGGCCAGTCTGGAGTGGCACGATAGAGAGACTGGATGAAGGGGCGACCCGAAATGGAAGGATCTGCGCTTAGTACAGAGATACCTGCTTGGCACATATAAAACCAACAAAGGCCACCAGGCACCGACTCAAGCTGTCGGAAATGAATTGTTACACCGAGTATTTCCGAGGATTAACGCGCGACTTCCAAAAATATTCCGCATCCTTATCGTCACACCCTTCCACCCACAAATTCACATGAACAACAGGCGCACAAGCCCCATCATAACTCCCATACTGCTCCACCGATTCCAAGAATATCTTCACACCCTTCGGTACATGGCTTGAATTGTCGCAGCCCGCGTTGTACAAATAAAGTAGCGACTCCCGAATTCTGTCTTTGATAAAAGGGCGATTCGCCCAGGCGTGGAACTGGACCACTACGTCGCGAACGAGCAACGGGCTACCGTCTTCCGTCTCGATGACGAAGTAGTTCCAGGCGTCTTCTAGGTTCTCGACCCCGTCTTCTGGTTCTTCGAAGCCGTCGCTCCAGATGTGGCATTCACTGGCGTGTACACCGAGGTCCTTTGCGGTGAAGATGAGTTTGTTGGCATTGGTTGTTGTTGCCGGTTGTAGGGCGAGGGGGTGGTCGGTTAGGTAGGCTCTGGAAGATGGGGAAGCGTCTTCGTTTTCTTCGGCGACTTGCACGCTCGATATGCCTGCTGGGTCTAGGACGGACCAGTAGAGGCGATCGAATGCGTTGTGGTTCATGATGCTCTTGTGTTCATCGGGGATAACGGGGGTAGGAAGTGGCATTGTGGAAGAATGAGAGTTAGGTATGAAGTTGTAGAGTTGTAGGGTAGCGAGATGGAGATATGAACATAGCGACGCGCGCGCAAACGACTATATACTCAGCGCGGCAAAATCTTAGGCTTGAGCAAAAGAGCTAGAAGACGAGAGCGCAGGCAGCAATCGAGCTAGAGGCGCTTGGTCTTCGTTCCTAGCGAGGCGAGGTGGGGCGTACGGCAAGTGTTGCCGTTGGCAAGAAGATGAGAATAAGAGAACATGCTTTAACTTGATATCAAAGGAGGCAGACCCAAATTCGAAATGTGATGGGAAGAAAATCCTCATTCACCTCGCCGGTCCCTCCAACGTATTCCGTCGACTAGGCATCCTCGGATCCCTCTTCCCCATCGTAACTTCAAGCGCCTGAATCAAAGCCGTGCCATCATACCTAACAAAGTTCTCGCCCTCATGTTTCTTCCCATATACACGAATTGGTTCAATGCCAATACTCTTCAGCTCGTCTCGGTCAACTGCCGGAGTGCCTGGCCCTTGGAGATGTATGATGTGCGTGACGTATTTCTTGTACTGACTCTTATCGAGTGGCCCGAACACGCTCTTGGAGTCTTCACATGCTTTCGCGATGGCAGCTATGAAATCAAGGGCGGAGTATGGGTTGGATGACGGTCCGGTCTCACGATCGATGGTCGAGTTGAGAATGAGGATCTTGTAGCGGATTGCGGGGTTGCTGATGGCTTCGCCGATACCTTTGAGAACCAATGAAGGGATGATGGATGTGTAGAGCGAGCCGATGCTGTATATGACAGCCTGCGCGTCGTTCAATGCATTGAGCACCGTTGGGTTCGCGGAAAGTCGGATCTCTTGGCCGTAAGGGTTGATGTACCACAGCCTTTCGATTCTGGCTGGAAGCTCCTCTTCATCCGCTTTAGAGAATGTGATGTATTGCTTTCGAAGAGTCGGTAAAGATCCGGGTAAATTGGCGTCTTCGATTCGATCGTGCTGTTCGGTCTCATCGATTATTGGTGCACCTCCCGATACCAGGGCTGTGGATATGGAAGGGTGTGAGATGGAGTTTTGGCCGGTGATGGTGTCACCGTTTGCGAGGCTGACTGAGATGTGATGTGTGAAGTTGGTGTTGATCGCCGGTAAGACTGATGTGTGGCTGGGCACGGAACAGATGCTGGAGAGTAGGTAGATGGCTGACTCAAACGACCCAGTGAAAAGTCGAGCGCTGTAAGTGTCAGCTACGAGGAGTTTGATGCGGGTAGGTGCGCTGAGGAGGATACGCTATGATAAACGTAACAGAGACGATGAAGTCGGAAATTGATCGATCATATGGATGGTACAAACCAAAATGAGTGCATGAATTACATACCCAGTAAGAAACAAGTTACCGATACTCGCACCTGAGAAGTCAAAACTCGACGAGGGCCGGCGACGCTTGACGATCTCGTATGCGACAACATTGAGTATCGATCGTATAAGCTCTTTCTTCGCCGTCGAGATGTTTGTCCAGAGTGCATGCTCAGCCTCTACAATCTGCAGCCATTCATCTCGGGCTGAAGACCGTTCTTTGGGTAGTCTGTGGTTGAAGAAAGTCTTGATAGCTGCTTTCTCGCTGTCATCGTGATCGGGGTCATCCGGGATTAGGCGGACAAGACGACCTAGGAAGGTTAACATCTAGATCATTGTTCTCGAAGAACATTCGCGTACTTCTCACATCGCCGATACCTGTGAACGTCAGTATTGGGTCGTTCCTGCCTCAGACGGCGCATACCTGGGCCTCCGAAGACGCGTATCAGCTCAGACGAGCTGCCGCCGTTATCACTGATAGGGATGACATAGCTCAGCGGGCATCTCTTGTCTTCTCTGACTTTCTTGAACACATCGACTAGATTGTTCGCAGCGCTTCCGCCCGAGAACACGACGATGCCTTTGCTTTTGAGGTTGCCGTTGGACATCGGCGAAGACGGCGTTGCGTGGTCGCCGTTAGGCGAAAGGAAGTTCTCGGCAGACATGGCAAGATGCGTGCAATGTTGGTTGACCACATGGGTCGTGGCGCGGGTTTTTCAAGTCATGGTGATGTTGACAGGGTGTTCGCAAAGGTGGATGCCTTTCCATGAGCTCAGAATAGCAGAGGCAGGAGTCATGCACTAATTCATTAGGGTGTCACGCGTTACGCGACTAGGAAATACCTCGCATTTTGAGCACAACTTGGCATAGGTGTTTGATTGAGATTTTGCATTTGTAGTTCGTATGAAATGAAGTTTGTACAGAACGAGTCGCCAGCCAAGATGTGGTAGAGGCTGCTCTCAACACGCATCCAACCCCGCTCATATTGCATACCCATATCCGCTCATCATGGGCGCTGGAAGTAGCGCATGATAGTCTCAATTCCATTATAGTTGAGATGACGCTCTGGCCGTGTGTGCGGCGCCCAGTCCCAGCTTCCCCTACCCCTCACACCACCGTCTCTTGCCATTGTAGGCCATGGCCGCCTATGAGGTACCAGCGGCCTCCTCACGCTCCTTCCTCCGCGCTCGCTTCTCGAGTAGAGCGTCTCGTCGGTCGGCTAGAAGGCGGAATTGGCGGTTCTCAACGCCAGTGAGCCAGTAGCCGAAGCTGCCACCGGCGCCGGCGTAGAGGGGGTAGACCCAGAGGGATTCCTTGTTGAAGAGCGGGCGCATCTCAATGCCGAGTTGCCATAGCCGGGCGGCAACGCCTGGTATATGTCGTCAGTAGAGGCCCTTGGGGTGTGCGCGGGCGGTTGGGGACATACCGAAACCGCTCCAGAAGAGGATCTTGTGGACCATGGTGAGCGGGTGTGATCGTGGTAGTTGTTTCGTGTGGAAGACTCCTTCTGTGCTGCAGCAGCAATCGGGGCGGGTGTCGTGAGGGCGCGTTGTCACCGCTGTACCAGTACTGGGTTTCTGGGCTGCGATGCTCCATCGTCAAGCTCCGGAACGCCAAGAACGAACCACCCACGCGGATGCGGAACCAACGTCCGCCGACCTCACCTCCGCGACAATGCCGCTTTCGCGCCTCTCCTGATATCGTCGCTCACTTTTTAGCTTTCGCTCTACAATCCATTCACTATTACCATTTTGAGCTGGCGCACCAGCCTAGCCCCCTACGTCATTCGCTGCTCGCCAGCCTTTCCCACCCCGTCTTGATGCGCCGGGCCGCAACACAAACGACACAAAACGACTGATCGCAATCACGTAAATTCAACCATGGCGGAAGTCGGCCGCAAGCGCCCAAGTGAAAGCGATGGAGCTGCGACTATGCGCAAAAAGTTGAGGCCATCGGAACTCCCGCTTTCCCAGGCGAAGCGATCGGCCATCGACAGCCTGGTGCACATGTTCCGTAAGAAGGGCGCATACGACGACATACGCAGAGACTTGATGAAGCAATACGTGTCAGGAGTAGGTGGTCAACGGTTAATTACTACTATATGCCAGGCTAACGTTTGCGCACCAGCCTGCTAAGGATGAACTGCAAGCCGCCCTCAAGGAGCTCGTCGACCGCGAAACCGACCGTAATCCCTCGCTGCTGTCCAAGGATCCCCGCATGGCGACTACACTTATAGAAGGCGCGGGTGAGCGCAGCGACATCTACGGCAACATTATGAACACGGTCAATACTCTGCTGGACAAACTGATTGATGAGCATGGCGTACCGAAAATGCGCGAGTACCGCATTGCCGAGATAGGCGCTGAGGCGGCTGCTGAAGAGGAGAAGCGAGGCAGTAAGAGCGAAGAGGAATGGGCTAAAGAAGCAGACGCTCGTCGAGAGAAGCGTGAGGCCCGGAGAGAAAAGGAGTTGGAGGCAGAGCGCGAGAGAGAACGCGAGGAGAGGGCAAAGAAGGAAGAGCGCAAGCGCCGCGAGAAGGAAGAGGACGAAGCCCGTGAGAAGGCGCGACAAGAGGAGAAGGAGCGCAGGCGCAAGGAGCGTGAAGAGCGCGACAAGGAAGACGAAGAGCGCCGACGCAAGGACCGAGAGAGAATTGACAAGGAGAGAGAAGAGGAGCGTCTACGCCGCGAGAAGGAGCGAGAGGAGCATGAGAAGAGCCGAGAAGCCCGTCTCAAGAAGATCCGCGAAGAAGACGCTGAACGAGAGCGGCGCATACAAGAGGAGCTTGACCGAGATCGCGGTGGTCGCCATCGCAGTGGTCGTGGCCGTAGCAGGACTCCCGATCGTGAAAGGGACCGGCGTGGACGAGACAGGAGCAGGCGAAGGAGTAGGACAAAGACCAGGTCGCCTGAACGCCGTCTGTCGATCAAGCCTGAAGACATCAAAGTTGATGATGAGACGGCATTGGCGCTCCTGCTACAGGAAAGTGCGGAGATGAAGAAGTCACAACAACGCAGGCCTCTGCTTCCGCGATCAGAATCACTCGAACCACCAATGCGAAAAGCTCAGCCTCCCAAGTCGCTCGTGCCCCGCGATCCCGTGCAGGCTCGACTGGCCAGGCTTGACAGCAGATCTGAAAGGTCACCCAGCAAAGACGCAAAGTCCCCCGCTCCAGGTACGCCAAAGGCGGCTGCGAAGGACGAAGATACCACTATGACAGATGCCCCATCCGCAACAGAGGCGGCCAAGGGCCGATGGGATGACAAGCGACCTGAGTTGCCTTCGAAGCGTGGCAGATCCCCCAGTGTCGCGCGCAGCACGAGAGAGCGTAGCAGGAACCGATCGCAGTCCCGCGGAAGTCGGTACGACAGGCGTGGCTCGCGCTTCGACGACGACCGCCGTTCTCGACGTGACGATGATCGACATTCCTACCGGCCCTCAAACGACGGTAGACGACGCGATCGCGACGACCGAGATGAGAAACCGTCCCGTCGCGAGAGTCGCAGCCGCTCACGAGAGACCCACACCAGCCGCCGCAAGTCACGCTATGAAACGCGCAGTCCGTCGCCACCTCGAGAGGAGCGTCGCAGAGATAGAGAACGTTCCCGCTCACGAGGCGGACGTCGTGAGCGCGAGAGATCCCCTGCATCCGGGCGCCG